CCGAGACCACCATTCTGGATCCGTCCATAACACTATGCAACAAAAAATGAAACAATTTCTGTTCCTGGAAAGCGACCGAATTTTTCTTATTCATTGGGTCCTATTATAACCGAAATGGGCATTAGTTTTGATCTGAAAATGCTTTTCCGGTTTTCAGAGACGATTTTCGATTTTAGGCCCCGAAATTCGGTTTTTGGCCCACCGTGTCCGATGTAATTGAGTAATCGACTCGCGGTAACTTTCATCGCCTTTCCTATGCCACAAGCTTTCGAATAATATCTGGTTTTGCATATTTGCGTGCAAAAATAACGTCATAATGATAAATCTATGTTAAAGTAAGAAAATGTTGAGATTTTGTAAAAATTTGACATTTTTTTTCGATTTCATTTCAAAATAGAGGAAAAACTAAGGGCCCTATCCAAATTTTGAGCCCAGTTCCTTGAAGAGCATTCAATTTCCGTTCGGAAGGTACCTTTTTAGTGCATTTTATCGGATTCCTGTGGCGTCCAGATTGAGTTAACCTAAACACATATCCTAAGTCATATCACATAGCATTAACCTGATAACGTATGTTAACGCCATAGGATCAACGAGGGGTCAACTGAGGTCATGTTGTTGACCCCTTGTGACCTCGGGTCTTACGCAGGAACTTACTTTTGAGCAGTCCTGTCGCTCAGAATCTTGATCTGTACCTCCATTTGTTAGAATGATTCTTCATGCACTGAACACATATTGTCATGGAAATGGCTGGGGGCCCGTTTTTCAAGTGACTCAATCTGGACGCCACAGTAAACCGATAAAATGCACTTAAATAGTACCTTCCGAACGGAAATTGAATGCTCTTCAAGGAACTGGGCTCCGAATTTGGATAGGGTCTTTAGTGTTTTCTCTATTTTGAAATCAAATCGAAAAAAGGTCAAATTTTTACAAAATTTCAATATTTTCTTACTTTAACATAGATTTATGACGTTATTTTTACACGCAAATATGCAAAACCGGATATCATTCGAAAGCTTGTGGCATAGGAAGGGCGATGAAAGTTACCGCGAGTCGATTACTCAATTACACCGGACACAGTGGGCCAAAAACCGAATTTCGGGGCCAAAAATCGAAAATCGTCTCTGAAAACCGGAAAAGCATTTTCAGATCAAAACAAATGCCCATTTCGGTTATAATGGGACCCAATGAGTCCAAAAAAATCGGTCGTTACTCAGGAACAAAATGCCTGTTGCATAGTGTAATGGTAACTGATACGATAACATTTGGTTTTATTCGATATCACAGTTTTTCAACGTAAGTACCTGTGTTCTCAGGTTTGTTTACAAATCAAACATGCCCATACGCAGTTGTAATTTTTACAAATGCCTTTCAACTTTTTTTTAGTGTTTTACGGAAATTAGATATCTGGCAACATTAACATCCATTTTTATTTTAATACCGGTCTGATTGAGCGCTTTCAAAATCAACTATCCCAACGAAAATAGCAAGTGCAGCCATCCCTAGACAACATTGTCATTTGACACCGTATATAGAACACAAATGCTTGAAAAGATCTGCCTCCACTCGCCAGGCCCCACTCACAGTCACCAAATGCATGACCTCCTCATCCTCCTGGTCCCGTAGTCAAAGGCGCCTGTCCCAGGAGGGCGTGTGGCACCTGGCCGTCGCCGTCCAGACTCACAGACGGGCATCGATCATCGACCACAGGTGGGGCGGGTATAGGGCACGATCAGCACGCACCAGCATCGACTCGGACAACCGCGCCGCGCGAGCAGCGGACGAGTCTGGGTCGGACAGAGTCGTCACCCATCTGTGACAGAGCTGACAATACTCCGGCTCCAGCCCTGATGGTATATACCACCGGCTTCAGCTCAGAGTGTTCACACCGGCTCCAACGGACAGCTGGGACGGTATTACCGCGCCACGAAACAGACGTTCATTTCCTGTATATTTGACGATAGTATGCAACTGCAAGTTCATTACTTACGATGAACAGCGCATAGATGGAGAATGCTTACTTATTCCAACTTCTGTATTCATTTTGCCATCGAGTGCACATTGCACAGCACACGAAGCCCAGCATTGCTAACAGGACGCTGCTTCACATTGTCACACTGCACTTCGAAATTGCGCCCATGAAAATTATCGTCGACTGCTTGCCAGTTATAAGACGTCGTGATTAAATGCTTCCGCATTAAATCATCGTTAAATGCTGGAAAACGCAGCTGCAGGGTGATTTATCTGGTGACACAGTCAACCCTCGCACTAGTGGGACATCCATTATTATTAGAGTTCAGCAAAACACTGTTTCGGATTCAATAAAAATATCATCGCAGTCGCCAAGCAGTTCCCTAATATATCCACATTGAACAAACTGAACAGGGCGTCGCAAATGTTAGTTCAGTTGTTTAGCAGCTGAACCATAGATCAATAGAAATATATAAACTCGAATTTGAACATAATTCTTAGCTGGAGTAACTATGCATTGGCAAAATTAACTATGAATCCAAACAGAATAAAGTCGTTAGAGAAAAAGTGATTCAGTGAACAGACCAGTGATGACGAAGGGAAAAAGCAATTTTAGGGGCGTTTTCTGAAGACCTGTCTTCAACATGGGGAATAGCTCGACCAAAACTTTATTTATATCGCTATGGTCATTTTATTTGTTTCTTTGTTTGTTTTGTTTACTTAAGTCTTAAGCAACTGTTTAAGTTTGACTTATCACATGGAGCACGAACGTGACCGGCTCAAAGTGATCCTCACAATGTGTGGTGTGTACTAATGTACTGAAACTATCACTGTCAACTGCAACATATAGAGAGATACGAGGACTGCTCCAAATGAAGCCGACTTAGATCCACAACAGCATTCGTGAACATAATTCGTTCGACGTAATTATCACCTGCCAATTTGTACCAAAGGTGAGGAATTAAGTCGCACTGAAGTATTTAATAATACAGTTGGTGACTTATTCTTGATCAAGTCGTGTGATAGGGAAAGTCCATCTGGCAAATCTATTATGCTGGCTGGCCTTTGTGCCATGAGACCATTTCCCGAGAAAGTGGCCTTTTAGACCTCGATCAGACCTTTACTTATGTATATCCCAGTATGGCATTGTGCTGGTGCTAGCCACATGCCCATATCGCGGTGATCCGTCAGCTCACGAACACCAGCCTCAGTCCTTCCCGTTCACAATGTCGCTGGCCCGGCGACCACATCTCGCACAACACTGCTCATCTCCTGTATAGCTGGATTGGATTTATAAAAAGATGTAAACGAGGATGAAATCGAGTCGTTTGTCGTAAAAAAGTCCTGCACTAAAATGAAGCCTATTATGATGAAGCTTTCTGCTATATGAATTATGGAAACCTGCTTGAATCAAATCTCTCGCTCTCATCTGGCTCGATAAACAACAGTCTGCATCCGGAGCCAGCTTTTAAACTATTTTACCATTCACTCACTCCCAGGCCTCAGAGATCTCAGCCCAGCTCGGAGATCTCAGGCTGCCGGCCCCGAATCGGACCCTTCTCCGTCCGCTCGTGGGCGATTGCGCTCCACTCCATCACCCAATCTTAAATCGCCCCTGCCGAATTACCTGATGACTATCGGCGCCCCCACTCGGAAACGCCGGCTCTCATTCGTGGTGCGGAGCAATCGGTCGGCCTTAGAGCCGAGACGTAACGACTTCTGCAGCGGCCCCCGGTTTCCGAGGGTGGAAATTGGATTAGGTGTGGCAGCGTGGGCTCCATCCGACACCCGCGGCGTTTGGAGAGCACTTGGTAGCCTTCCCGTTATGGTGGCTAGTCACCGTTCACTTACAGAAACGACTGACACTCCGATATCTGACGAAAGTGGATGGACGCTCTCGACAGGGTGTAACTGTGACAGTTTCGAACAGAGATGTTATTACACTAATCACCTCAATGGTATAATGGCGAAGGAATCACGCGAATCGCTCTTGTAATTGTAACTGCATCGCGATGAAACTACATAGTGCAACTACGTTCTTGTATTTGTAGTGTTATACAAGGTCATCTTCTGACGCACGTTTACTTCTTAGTTTGCTTTTTTTATCTCAAGGAAGTTGTATTATATAAATCTGCACTTGTTTGCCTCTAAAGTATGATATCAGGGGCCTAAGTAGTTTCCAAACCCTCGTATTCGTTCATTGGTATTTTTCTATTTTGCTTAGTTGCGTTCTAAAGCACTAAAATGTGAACGCTAAGTAAATTATTTAAGCGCTGACTTCATAAGGAAGTATGTTTTAGCTGGTAAATTAATATTCAAGACAATGCCGTGAAACTGGATGCAAGGATGCAAATTGGGGAGGGTAGGAATTCGGAAGATGAATGAATCATTCAGCCCTCATAGCCTGCCTGTGCAGTGTTTGCGTCAACCCGATTTTGTACATCATCTCGAATTTAATGGTGCATCGCTTGTTAGATTTCAACTTGCTTTTATTATCAAAAATATGATCATTTTACTGTTATTGTTGTTATTGCTCTGGCAAGGGAAGGGAGAGGGCAAAATAAAACGCTTGTGTTTCCGTCCAGTATGTAGAAGGAAAAAGTTGATCTATATATGTGTTGATGTAAATTACAAGGCACTGAGGCGGGCTATGATTAATCTCGCAGATCTTATTCGCACCATGCTTGACGAATCCATGGATGCATGGAGTAATTGCAGTACGAGCTGTGATAGTGGGATCGGTGTAAATGAGAATCTCGTGCGTGGGAGCATGCGTGGTGAGAACGGCCGCAAAATACATCATTCCACACCCAATTCATGTTGATGACATTAGGTCGAAAATAACTCACAGCCACCAGTCCGCACCATGAAAAAATAACGATCGGTCGTGGTGGCCCGGTTCGTATCGCGGTGTTTCCTATATAATATTCATGTGACTGCCGGAAGGCGCGGTGCCATGTGACAAGTCAGGTTGCGCTGCTATACGAGCTCCATTCACAATTTATAGGCGATCCTGTTATCTTAGCTCTTACCTCTATCAGTGGTCGTGGAATCCGGAGAAGTCCTGGTGACGGATTTCTTTCAATTCAGACTCCTCGAATCTTGTGCAGCTGAGTGTTGTCAACTTCTTCTTAGATTCCGCTCACAGCTAGCTTCAGAGCTAACCGCGACACTTTTTTCAGTCACTCCGCTATAGTATGAAAACTAAATGACATGGCTGACCAGTCTCTACCACACTGTCATTCAGTTCACGACTCTAGCAGTCGTGACACGGTCTTGCTGTCGTGACAAAGCCGTGACAAACCCCACGTGGCTGTTCACTGAGCTCTATTACTCACGCCTCCGCAATATCCACAGTCAGTATATCACTTAAAACCAGTTCAGCAGCCGAATCCTCAATCGTCTCGACTCCATCGGGAAGACTAGATTTCAGGCGCGCTCCAGTACCGTTCCCGGCTCCGTCGGACGTCCCTCCGCGTCGGAGCCGACGCCAACACTGCAGCCGTCGACTCCGACGAACCTCACTACGGGTCGACGCCGTCGGGACCGTCGCGTCGCGTCGGTGGACGCCAGAGCGTGAGGATGGGAACCCGATCGGACGGCGCACCGGTCCCGGAGGGGCTTCCAGGCGGCCCACCGCCCACCGTGGCAGGACGCTCAGAAAAAAGGGTTGAGGTGGACTTCCTGTATTATGCTTATATATGCAAGGTTTTCAAAGCATGCTATGAATAAAAAGGGTATTTGCTAGCAATATAATAATCGAAATTACTACCTGCACACAATCTTTCGAGGGAACTGAGCCTGTGATCTTCGAGAATTAAATCATGCACGAGCACCTGCCTGTCCGGAATATAGAAAGTGCAGCTATTACGCTTTCAGTGTTGTTGCATACTGAGATTGAGGGACGACTTTCGGACTTTGATATATTATGCAGCAGCTAATTCGGGATGCCCTGTTGACAGCCTTCCACGATCATGCTTAATGGCATATGCAATATACAATACATCGCATGTTCGTCGCGAGGAAAATAGACAAATGTTTTCATATTGAAGCTGTAGTTGAACAGCGGAAGCAGTACAGATCATATCCAGATAGCACTATCAACATCAAGATAATGCTAAATTTTCGGCGAATGATTTGCGTGATTGTTTATTAGGGGTACCCATTTTTGGGTCAATTTTTCAAATTTTAGGTGGGGGTGGATTTTCCCATTATTTGGTCTATTCTGATTCCATCTGTGCCAAAAATAGTGAAATTAAACGATTTCTAGGGGTCGCGAATTCAAAATGAAAATGCCAGTTTTAGCGAAAAATCGACCAAATTAATGCTATTTTATTTTGGAACAAGGTTACCATGCTAACAGGTGGGAGTCAATTTTCCCATTATTTGGTCCATTCTGATTCCATCTGTGCCAAAAATAACGAAACCAAACTATTTCTAGAGGTCACGTATTCAAAATGAAAAGGTCAATTTTAGCGGAAATTCGACCAAATTAACATTATTTTATGTTGGGACAAAGTTACCATGCCAACGGTTTAGGGTCGATTTTATCATTATTTGCTCCGTTCTGGATCTAGCAGTGACAGAAATAACGATATCAGACCACTTTTAGGGATCGCGAGCTTGCATTGGAAGTTTTAATTTTACTTGGAAAAATGACTTCATATGAATGGATATAAATGCGCAAAGCCTGATTGTGTTGCAGTGGTATTCGACGTGCAGCGGTAAAAGAGAGCACCAAAAATATCATTTTGGTCAATGAACAGCATATGCTCATTTACACTCACTGTGGCTTAGACCGTCATTAGTACCTACATATATACAAGACCGTAACTCTTAGAACGACTGGCTATGTAGTCAGAGGGCTCAAATCAGTGATCGAAGCTTTCTCATTAGGACCATTTAGTTTTCAATGAGTCGTCTTATTCAGCAAAAGAAATGACTGAACCCCAGGACGTAAACAATGAATATTGACACAATCTGGGTGGGAGGGGCATTAAAAGCCGTTACGGATGTGACGATATAACTCGTGTGTCGTATTGTAACGGAAATATGGCATGAAGATCTTTAACGAGATGAAAACAGCACTGAAGCTATGCCGGTATGCATGACCTTTGCCAATTCGCTAGCCGACCTCCCCTATAGTCCCGGAGTTGCAGACACGGCTGAGGGAGGGGCGCAAGCTTTACACCACCGCGCCGTTGGGTGACTGCTGTATGAGTGTAGCTTTGCCCCTCTCCCACAAACACCCACACCCACATACAGACTTTTGTTTAGACTGTTGACATATTGTTAACTTGAGACAGGTGCAGATATCATGTCATGGAACTAGTGCCTGGTGATGGCCGCTGCCAGCAGCGTCCTTGCAAGATAACGGACCTTACGCTGCACTCTACATGCCCAGTCCAAACCCTCAAATGGTGCTGAACTGAAGTCGAATGGCATTGGCTAAAGCTGGAAATTAGGAAGGTGCCAAGTCTAAACGACTCAGCCAACTCCGAGGCAGATCCGTTTACTGACTCCTGGCATTGCCTGGGGGCCGACACATTGGGTGGGCTATGGACCTTAGGTGGCGGACCTAGTTCTCGTCTTCAGCTCTGCACGCACACTCTTTTATATGACGCCGCGTCCTGGTTACCACCATATACGGCCCATGCAGGATGAAAATCTTCTGCTTCATTAGGTTCTTCAGATTCATACGCCAATCACCTCAGATCACAAGTGATCTGTGCAAGGAGCAGTGAAAGGTCTTCGTCACTTATCAGCTATGCACGTATCAGCGCATGGCTAGTCGCCCGTGGTCGAAAATGCAAAGTCGTAAATGATGTGCAATGTGCATTGTATCGGAACCTCTTACACTTAAGACGTGTACTCGTATCCCCACTGAAGAAATGGAATAGTAGGTACATGGTTGGTAGGCATGGAAAGAATCGACGCTTTGGAGTTTATGTTTTTGGATTAGAAGCTGATATTTTTGGGTAGAACACCCAGAGTTATTCTACCTTGTCTCATACGTGTATTACATCGTAGCCGTCAGCGACAGTAGCGGTGGAACGCCTTCAATTAAGGGGGGCACTGCCGACTTTTGGTCCCATTCTTTCCAAGCAACGCCCCTAGGGCTAATGTTAAAATGCCAAAATCAAAGGGGGGCACGGTGCTCCGGTGCCCTCCCCGTTCCGCCGCCTGTGGTCAGCGATCAGGACGGCGTGTCTTGTGGAAGTATACGGTCAAAATGGTTTAATCGTTTTTGAATTACATGGTTTGAAGTCCATTCGGAGCCATAACCTGTGAGATGTATCCTGACCTAATTTGCGGAAACTTTAATTGTATGGACACAAAAAGCCTGTCATGAACTGAGATGTGGCAACTGAAACGTCATATTTAAGTTTGACCTCACAGGTCATCAAAGGTCACCAATACCAAAGGTCACCAAAGGTCACATGAAGGCAGAAGATATAAAAAATGATTACACGCCGACCAGAATGATACCAACAACAGGAGCAAAACATCACGGCGCTTTTCACCAAATGTTGCAATATCGACTTGTATTGATCGCTAGTAAGGCATTTAACCGGAACCACGTGATGGAGCACATCGATGTGGATGAAAAAGGAGCGCTCAATGACCCCTCTAACCGACTTTCGAAACAAAAAGTTTGCCTTTGGTGCGATTTACTATCAGCGTAAAATAGGCATATTTCTAGGTAAATACGCAAATTTCAATCTCAATTCGCGACCCCTAAACCACCTTTGATTTCAATATTTTTGGCATCATTGGAATCAGGAGCCGCGAAATAATGGGAAAAACCACCCCCACCCTCAAATTTCCAAAATCGGGAAAAATGGGTACCCCTATTGTTTATACTTCGACCAACATCTATTCAATTGTCATACTATTAACACCATTTTTTACAATATACACCTGCCAGCTCAGTATTTTTCACCGCATCGCACCGCATAAAAAATGAGTTTGTTTCCGCATCGTGCCGCTGCCGCCTGGGCGCTCATTTCGGGTCATTGGATGCGATTAGTTCTTGGCTCATGTCCTCCTCATTGAACAAATATCGATCGGGCGGTGATGATGAGTCGCGCTCTCGGAAGTTTGGTCATCCGATCGGAGACGGAAAATGGGAGCCAGTGAGGGAGAGAGAAAGAGAGAGAGAGATAGAGAGAGAGAGAGAGAGAGAGAGAGAGAGAGAGAGAGAGAGAGAGAGAGAGAGAAGGAGAGAGAGAAGGAGGAGGAGGAGACTGGAGGGAGAGAGAGAGGATATATGTAGATAGTTAGATAGAGGAGAGGAAACTAGAGAGAGAAAGAGAGAAAGAAAGAAAGAAAGAAAGAAAGAAAGAAAGAAAGAAAGAAAGAAAGAAAGAAAGAAAGAAAGAAAGAAAGAAAGAAAGAAAGAAAGAAAGAAAGAAAGAAAGAAAGAAAGAAAGAAAGAAAGAAAGAAAGAAAGAAAGAAAGAAAGAAAGATAGAAAGAAAAAGTTATAGAAGAAAAGGTCTGGGAAATATGGAAAAGCGAGTTTCAAAAGTGAAAATATGATAGTGTCTCACAAACCATAAGGACTCACTTTGAATTCGGACTTTCAAGTAAAAATATTAGTACGAGTTGGCAAGTAAAAGTACGAGTCCAAAGTGCGAGTTAAACTCGTACTTAAAAGTACTCTTATTTTCTTACTTACTCGTACTTTAACTCGCACGCCTAAAGTACGAGTTAAGCTCGTACTTTGGAATCCTGCCACGTCTGATGAATTTTACCACCAACAGAAGGCAGAAGGCATCCAACCTCCAAGAAAAATAAGCTAAAATAAGCAAAGCTTTTGTTCACAGCTCATCATAATTCACCACCGGCACCCTAGGGATCGCGTATCGGGTTTCATCTGTCTCTGACTTGAGTTTATTTTGACCACATTGCATCTCGCCGCCTGTCGCCTTCTATTCCGTGGCGGCGATGCTCCCGACAGCAGTCCCGAAGCCACCCGTCGTCCCCCAGATTGCCTTTCCGGGGCTGCTATTTCCTGGGAGCCTCCTGCGCTCGTACGCCGCCCGCGGTCCGCCCCCGCCCCCGCCCCCGCCCCCGCCCCCGCCCCCGCCGCCCACAAGAGACCGACACCGGTGCCGTACGTGTTTAGAATATCCGGGCATCTGCCACTAGCTCAATACCGGCGTGCGACTCCCAACTGGAAATTGCGAACCATTGCCGCGCGCCGAAATCCCAGCCCGTCGCCAACACTTTGTCGAAAACCGGAACCGAGAGGCGCCTAGGAATCGCGCCGGAAGGGTGACTTTGTATCCATCGAAAGCTACGGCGTGTGACAAGATAGTGCGTGCTACGTGCAGCGTTTCTCCAGATTTACTGTCCCGATTGCCGGGATCGCGCACACCATTGCTCTTGTGAAGATTGGTCGTGCGGTGTCACGTAATGCATACGGCCGAAGCCTTGGTCCGGAGGGTGGATCGCAGCGCGATAGGACGCGGTGCGGGGCTCAGAGCCGGATTC